AGAGCTTTGTTTTTCCTAACGCTCCAATGCTTCACTGGAAAGCACAGCCTGCCTGACACGGTCATCTTAGCACTGTGTATCTTCACTAGTGCAAGAACAGTAGTTCTGTGCAGAAAACATCGCGTTTCTGTGTTTGAGCACATTCAGGTGCTTGAGATGATGATGCCTGAAGGGACTACACTGGGGGCAGGGAAATGCTCATTTCACTTGGGAAAATGCCCAGGAGAGTCAGGAAAAGCCATCATGCTCTGGGAAAGGATTCACAACTCTACCAGTGCACCACTCAGCTCAGCACTCTCACCAGTCGGACGAGATGACCACCAGAGATCTCTCCCAGCCTACAACCCCAGTGATTCTGGGAACTGCTCTTGTCTGTTTTTTATGCTTTTGCTGATTTTTTTTTTCTTTTGTGTTTTCTACTCATTTTTCAGCTTGTTCTTCAGAGTAGTTTTAATAACGATAATAAAGCATATTTTTTAGAAGCTCACAGAATTACAGAACGGCTTGAGTTGGAAGGAACACAAAGCAGACATTCCTCTCCCTTGTTTGAAACTTGACATACTATGTAATGCTGAATCATCACCTTCTTATCCCTAAGGTACACAGTCAAAAAGACTACAGGATCATTAGCTATACAAATACAAACACAGTCCAATAAGCAAAACCTCAAGGGCCTTATTCTTTTCCCCCCATTCCATTAGATATTCTCAACATCCCCACTTTGATAAACTGAAGATTCACATAGGATAAACTGAAAGAACTGAAAGCAATTCCATACAGCACACTGCAATAAGAACCTAGTATGAAATACCTTATCTGTAAGGACAGAGAACGTCAAGACTTGTAAGTCAAGATCAGCAACATCTCCATTTCCAAAGCTGTTATTTCCTAACAGTAAATTGCAGGTAGGTTTTGGAAGAACATAAGAAAAATCGTTTTCTATAGCAAGTTAGAATACCTGCTGATCTGTCTTGATGATAGCTTAAAAGTAATATCCTCCAAACTGTTTACAACTTGCTTCATGTTTACAGAGTGCTCTCACTGAAACTAGTCCTGAAACAACTGAACTGCATGATTCTTGGGTAGATTTTAAGAGTTTACTGCTCCAAAGCTCTGTTAATAATATTCAAGCCATTTAAGCAAAAAGGTAACGTTAGAATTAAATACATTTTTTGCTTCACTTCTTGTTTGTTCTCCAATCCACCAGCTCCCCAGTGCTACTCAGCTAACATTTGGGAAATACTGGAGAGATACAACCTGCAATGGGTACAAAGCAAGGCTAGTAGGATGAACAAATACAGTCTTACCCAAAATCAGAAGCACTGGCCCTTTAAAATATTACCAGCTTTTTCCTTGTCACTGCAATGGTCATTGCAAATTAATTTTACAAGTAGAGTAGTCATCTCAATAACAAACATTTTACTATTAGCTCTGACATTCGCTTTGCAAACTCCACAACACTCAATGCCAATCTGAGATATGCAAACAGAACAATCTGCAGCTAACGCAATTCCTTTCATACAGCATTCCTTTCTGCAATTACTCTTACACAGAACACACATTTACTTCTGCTTCTTTTTTTTTGGTGGTGTTTTTCTTCCCCCTCCCTTCTTCTCCCAGGAACTCATCTGGTACACCTGGTGTTGACACGATTTAACACAAACTTGCAACATTCACGCTGTGTCTTCAAGACTACCATTCCTCACAAGCAGCAGAAACAAAACCTGCTTTCATCTAAGTTGCTTTAAAACATGACTGAAAAGAACTGAGGTGACATGCAATAAAAAATGCAAGAAAGATTAAAGGTCAGAAAAGCCTTTAAACAGACGAGCGAAAAAACCTTTCATGCTTCCTGAAGGAGGTTACGTACCTCTGCACATGAACCACCATCAAGGTCAAACTGCTCTCAGTGCACGTCTGAGGGCATCACTGCAGCAGTTCCACAGACCCTGCAGTCCATACTCCATGTGCCTGTTTGCAAGACTCCAACTGGCCATGCCTACAGCCTGCTCCTTATCACATTCTGTAAGGAAACCCTGTGCCAAACAAGGGTCAGCAGATCCTCCTCGGTCTGAACTGATTTCCTTTATCATCTCCGTTTTTAAAAATTAAAAAATACAGAGCATATTTAAATTCAACACAACCCAGAAGATTCGCAAGCTTTGCAATTAAAGATAGCAAGAGTTTAATTAGAGTAAAATGATTGTTCTTTTGAAAAGGAACCCTTTACTCCACGTTATCTGTGAATTAAATATTGGATTTTGGTTTTCCCTTTTTATACTGTTTGTGTTTCAGATATTTGCCATGATTCAAAGGATAGGTATTACATTTTATAAATGAAAAACTACAGAAAAATCAGGTTATACGGTTAGAAAGATAAAAGACTACTATCAAATGAAAAGCTTAAAGAAATAAATAGGTTTAGCAGATTAAAAAATCAGGCTTTGTTGTTGTTTATAGCATCAGTACTCATTTAACATCAACATAACCATGGAGATACTGAAAGCTTTTGTTCTACTTGAAATGATATTTGTGATTTAAGTCACAAAAGATATTCATACTCAGAAGTACTGTACTGTAAACCTAGCAAAAACCAATACCTAGCAGGTCAAAATCAGCGAGACTACACTTAAAATAATATTTAGATAGCTAATTGTATTTGTTGTTCTAGCCTCACTCCCCAGATCGTTCATTACATCAGCTAATTACTTGAAATTTCTTTTGTTGAATAATGACTGTACTGAGCAGTTAGCAAAACTCCAAAGCTGCACGTAAGATTCAGAAACGCATACACATATTCTACAAAACCAAACTGCTTTGCTGACACCTATAATGTCAAATTGTGCTAATTCAGATATTGGAGTGGTTGGTTGGCCTTGCAAGTAATTCACCAGTGTTGCCAAAGACACAGCAGTAGGCACTGCACAAAGCGGACGTGCATCCTTCAAATCGTTCCAAGTCTGCACACACATTTTTATCTTGAAGTATTTCCAGATGCAGCCCAAGGGGAGGCCCAACCCTGGCCAATGCAGCTGCACTTTCTAGCTAACTCAGGTTGTTCACACCCTCACTTTCTGGCCTGGAGAAGGACTGTTGCTGCATGCATTCACTGCTAAAGAAGAAGAGCAGGAAGAACAAGTGGCACAGAGCAGTGCCATAAAACAGTGCCTATAGACCTGTAGGGAAACAAGCCCCTGCTGCTCTCTCCCTCCCCTGTCTTGGGCTGTGCAGAGGCTCAGAGTGAACCACATCTTTGCTTGGCATAGCACTGGACATACAGACATGGGGAAAGCCTAGGAGCAGCAGCAAGACCGGGTCTGCTTATAAACAACCTGCTCCCCGCAGTTCAAAGGAGAATTAAGCAAAACCCTTCAATTTTAAACTGTAACTTTGTGCAAATCTCATAGGATTGTTTCAATGTCAGAAACATCCAATATCTCTTCCAGAAAACAAACTACAAAGTAGCAGCAAAAGAAAAAAAATCCCATCTTTAAGTCTCCTGGAATTCTATTTCTATGAGAAAAAGTGTTTGCATTTGATAGAGACCATATTAGTTCCTTTCAGATTACAGGGAGGTATGTCAGATCACTGAACCATCTCTGGCCCTCTGGACCCGCACTTAGGGATGAAATCTGCAAATCTCTTTCAGTTGTATTCAAAATGGGGAACCACTCATCCTGAGGGCAGTCAAAGCATGAGCACAGGGTGCAGGTATAGAAGGGGAGAGGTGAGAACAGGGGCTGCACAGCACGCTGCTGTACCACCATGGTCTGCCCACCTCACTGCAGACCCTCTGCATCCCCTCACTGAAGTTGTTGCAAAGAAACATGCAACTGCTCACAACAGACCCTGACTGTAGTCCACACCATGAGCTATTTCACATGTTGAGCAATATTTGCTTGTTTCAATTAAAGCGCACACATACATACTATCCTCCCTCCTCTCAAATCACTAAAAATACCTTCAACTTCAGCCAGTTCAGCTCACTCTTCAGAGCAACCTTCCACACAGGCCTGATGAAGAACAGGCGTCATCACATTCACAGGGAGAAAATCCCTCAAGGAACAGACCTATCAGCTCAAGATTTCTGACAGCACTGATCACTGCTTTCCAGTCTGTCCTCCAGCCCACAGCCAGCCCCTTCTATGCAGCAAAGAGATGCACTACGAGGAAATTTCTTTCTGTTTGCTCTGCATGCTCAAGAACTTTCCAGACCTTTATCAAATGAGATGAACTAGAACAACAAAAGGCTTCCCTCATTGGTAGCACAAAAGTGCTACCATCACAGGAAATAAAATCATCAAGGTGGCAGTGACTTACTGAAGAGCATGCATTTTGGTAATCTGGGCCCCACCAGTTATGTCTGCTCTTTGCAACCTTGATGGTGCCATCATGCACAGAAATCACCAGCACAAATCACCACTGAGGACAGCATAGGGACCTCCTCCTTCCCCCTCACACACGCAGTGGCATCATTAGGGATGGGCAAGCAAACCATGTGTTGAACAACCACCAAAAGTAGTCTGGGACATCTCCTGTTGCTCTGAGCAGTGATCTCAGGAAGCTAGGGAGCAACGTCTCGAATGAGACAACAGGGCATAAGGAGACCTGAAAGGCAGCACAGCTTCCCAGCACTAAAAACTAGAGGGGTATCGTCTGGCAGAGTGGGAAAGCAAATCTCTGGACTGCTGATTGGTGCAGTGATAACAGCAGTGCTCCTCACAAATAAACCCATTCTACAGTAAATGAAGCTTTGACAAAAGCTGTAGCAATCACCCCCAGCAACAGCAAGAATTTAAAGTCTCCATTTAAACAGAAACACATCCTGAAGTTATTACATCACTGTATCCACAATGCATGCGTTACCAATGGTATCTCTCATGCTGTCAAATATCTTCTTCTGGCAGGGCTCTGTTGAGTAACTTCTGAGAAGTTATTTTAATTAATTCACTCTTAGTATTTGAAATTCTAGTTTAGCATGCAGTACTGTAGTTTGGTACCTCCAAGACAGCCAACGAGTGATACCAGGAACAGCTGTTTCCACAGCAGCAGCATCTTCAGTTGCCTCAATTCAGTAACTTTGGCTCTGTTTCAGGTGAACCACACATTTAGTCTTCCATGTGCAAGGTTTTACCTGTTAAAAGAACAAACAGCAGGACGATCACCAACTTCAAACTTAAGAACTGCCTACATTGTAAATGCATGTTTTAACAAATAGAAAATGGACAGATGCTCTGCAGTGCCTCAGTTTTCCTATAACTGAGCCCCAAAGAGAAATACACATGTATGGCTACAGAGTGTCACAAATTAGGTAATCCAGCAGGAGCACAGCTGACAAGCACACCAATTTTCTAGTTGCCCACATCCATTTATTTGTAAGAAACAGAGTTTTAGAAGGAGAGAGAATACATGAGGTGCAATCACACACAATACAGCAGTTGGAAGTCAAACAGCTGTTAAAGAACACCTTTCATCCTCCTTGCTTTGTATACACCACACTGACAACAACCTGAACACGTGCAGTAACCAGTTTGATTGAAGTAACATCCACTCTCCCCTCTTCTTACTGTTTTACTATTCCAGACCTGTGCTTGATGTACATAACAGTATTACAGAAGTCTGAAAAGGAAGATGCAGCAACCAAAAATAATTTCAAAATAGAATAAAAAAAAAAATATCTCAGCATGTGGCACTGAAGTGCATCAGGTGCAGTGATAAACTGTGAAATAATTTGTTAGCTTCCATTTCTACCTTCGTTACTGGCGAAATGACAAAGAATTTGCCATGCTCTATGTGTGGGGTACACTGTTCTTATTTTACTTTCATTTTTTCCTACACGAGCTGTGCAATACATTTTTAAAAATTGTGTGACAATTGTGGCCTCTACACTGCGTGCATCACTTCCACAGCATCCCTTTTTTCCCCATAAGAACAGTGAATAGGCAAAGTTGGAGGTTCTGCAGCATACAGATCAGACCTACATCAAATCACTCCCCCCGGCACTGAGGTGACGAATCAACACACTGAAATATTAAGGGCAAAAAAGACAACCCTTAATTTCGAGGTGCCAATCTGCTAAGCCTGAACACGTTTTGTTGTTTGTTCTTCTCTCCGGTGTGTTTCACATTACAGTGAAAATTTTCTCATACTTCTATGAATGTCGTGTTTGCATTTCAAGCTAAGCACCTCAGAAAGGCAATCACACAGAGGATTATCCTCAGCTGAGGATTGCATCCTCATCCCCACCCCATCCACAGCATCACAGCACAAGGAACGGTGGTTCTCATACTGCCCAACTCCACCCCCTGCCCACTTCATACTGGGGACACATCTGAGAGCACGTAGAGAAGTGCACACAGCAGACAGGCTGCATGCAGAACGAGCAACAGCCTGACTTGGCTTGGAGCATCCTCTAGCAGATGTGACCCCCGGGACCTGGCTTTGCTCAGGTTTCGCTCAAGTGACAGCTGTGTGACACGAACATGCTTTTTCCTTTTCTTCTGTGCTGAAGCCAAAACCCTGAAGCACTTGTGTGACAAGAGAGTTTACCTCACACCTGCTCCTTCTCACGACAACCTAAGAAATGGCCACAATCTGCTGAGAAAGAAGTACCTGACACAACCCAAGAACTAAGTTCTGAAAGAAATCCCAAAGCATCAGAGCTAGGAAGCCTCAGGACTGCTGCGTTTTGCATATTGTTTCTGCAGTATCCTCTATAATTTATTGACTAGTATTAACAAGTACTGCACAGTGACACTGTGATATACTGATGAAACAGTGCTAGCATAAGCTGCTGGGCTCTATCTGCACTGTATGTTTGCTGAGGGCTTTCCAGAGGAAGCTCTGTTCCTTATCCAACATGCCCTGGGGTCAAGAGGTACAGGGCTGTAGCACATTTGGCTTCAACAAAGGCATTTTGGTGCTTTTGGAATTAACAGGACTTCAATCACTTGGGCAGAGCTCTGGCACACTGTATGCAATCATCCAGAAGGATAAAGGTAAGCAGCAGCTTCAGTATCTGAATGTTTGGTTCCACTACCAAAAGAGCATGCAGAGGAAATCTGCCTCTATTTTGGAAAACGAGAAACTTTCTTCCTATAAGAGCACTATTTTCACAAGAAGTTGATTGCTGCAAACCATCAAGAATGCAAACCTAGGAAATGGGTGCAAACATACCAGGAAAAAAAAAAAACAAAACAACAGACTTCATTATATGTTTGTCTTTCAGAGACAAGCAAGTTCTCACTAGTTCAACTACAGGATAACAAGAAAACACCAGCAGCCAAACAGATGGCACAAGATGAAAGCACAAACATTTACTCAAAGTTTCAACTTTTCCTCCTTCGAAATTAGCTTTTCACAACCCACATACTAACACACCACATAGCGCAGCAATTGATGGACAAGCAGGTCTGGGAGAAACAGAGTCTGGAAGAGGTTCAGGATCAGTAATCTTATGCAGCGACCTCAATTCTTACAACCCTGAGTACAGCAGTCAAAAAGCAGTAGTTCTCCGAAGGGGGGATTTTTATTTACATACACTATTTGAACTTCTCAGACCTGCTTGAGAACCCAGTATAAACTTTCAACAGGAAGATTTGTGATCTTTGACAAGAAAAAAAGGAAATTTCATCTTGATAAATTATGATATTAACATTCTAGTTAAAGTCATCTCCACACAGCATCATACAAATGAGAGGCACAGACTAATGAGAACCATCCCTCAGCAATTTCAAGTAGCCACATCGTTTCAAAAAAAAATAAAATAAAATAAAATAAATTGAAAACATCCATTTCTCATTTCCCTCAAAATGCAATTACTAGTGGTAAAAATCAACCAGTACACTGTGTTTCAATGAAAAATACCCACATGGTGGGCTCTCAATCTTCCGTATCATTTAATCAAGTCTCTACCTCTCGTAGCTCACATTCTAAGACTGACAAGAACCAGTGATGGATGAAAGTGTAGCCATGGAAAAGTAAAGGTGTATTTACCACACACAGTGAAAAAGTCACAGATTCAAAGATTCAACATTTTTGGTCTTTTTAAAACCCAAACGAAATACAACAAAAACCACTATGAAAATCCTCCATTTGCACATAATTTAACAAGCTAGTCTTCCCACAATATTCCTGTTCCCCAGGCTTTCCTTTGATACCAAAGTAGCCCAGAGCTGGGATCAGTTTGCTGAGACAAACAAGAAACAAAAGGGATGAACATATGTATAAATAATAACTTAAAGCTGATCTCATCCAGTGTCAAATTTGGCAATCTCTATATTGAAATCCACTTGAGCTTCTATCTGCAGCTGAAGTGCTAAAGTCCATTCCCTGTACTTCTCTGCTACACAAGGTGCAGTATTAAATGTGGAGGTTGGTGGCCCTGCCTGTGGCAGGGAGTTGAGGTTGATGACCCTTGAGGTCCCTTTCAACCCAAGCCATTCTATGAGTCTATGATGGGGATCCTCCACAAAGATCATATAAGAAAGCAACAGCATTTGCAATCTGAGTATTTGAAGGGATAAGCAAGATCCATGCCAGCTCACAAAGACCTGCTGATGTATTTTGGTGGCAGCCTGCTGAGCAGTGCTTAGCAGAGCCTCACCTTACAGAGCACCATGAAGGCTATCTGGCAGCTCAGCAGATCTCACTATGAGAGCACTTGCTGTTCAAGATTATTCCTCCTTTTACATTCTTTAATTCCACACGACATTGGGTTTAGTGATTCTGAGTAATTTCACATTGAGGATGGCAAGGCTTTGAAAAGCTGAGATGCAGTACAAGTACTATTGAGCCACTACTGGCACCACACGAAAATCCATCTAAAACACCTGAATTAGACTCTGGATACATAAGAATTAACCAATTAAAAGCTAAGAAGCATGACAAAATACAGTTAAAACCCCTACTAAGCAATACAATGACTTGTTCCAAAGAAAAGTTGGAAACGGTGCTCCAAGGAAAACTGCGATCGGCCCGGCTCCTTTGGGGGCTCATTAGATCTTGGTTCCAACGCTGCATGGGAGCGCCACTCATTAACGAGCAGCCTTTGCAGGCTCCTAGCGGTTGTTAGGCTGCCTGTGGCTCTCACTCAGCCTCCCTGTCCCTATAGGGATATCAGCAATAGACAAATCATCCTGATGAAGCTGGGCTGTAAGAATAGAAAGATGAGCAGGAAAGTTTTCAGAGGAACTCTGCTATTAACAAGCCCTAGGTAGGATTAAAGCCATCTGCAGTGCGTCATTAGCAGAGGCTTAATTAAAAGCACCGCAGATATTTCTAACAAAATGAATTTACAAAAGCTCAGAAGAAAAGTAGCAGCAACCGTTCTGCAGAGTTTTACAACTTCTGATCTTACTCTATTTATCGACTTCCAGTTGCAATCCCCTGCTTTACCTGACCATATATCCTTTGTGCTTTATACAAGCATCATAGAGCTTTATGGATACAGGGACTGCATGGGTGGTTCTGGTTTACAGAGCATCTTCCCTTGCCCTACGTTTTTTCTAGCCCATCCTTTTCCCAGTGGAACAAAGAAAAATTGTAATAACTGGATGCCCTCTCTCACTGCACACTAATCTCTCCACCGACAGCAACACAGTGCACCTCTACCTCACATATTATTCTTGTCATTGAGGTCTTCTCTGGATACGCCAGCACTCACTGAACCTAAACCTGCAGAGCTGTAACCACCGCAGAACAGAACTCAGCTGAGCTTTTTACCACAGGCAGTTATTTCATGTCAATAAAAGCAGAAAACTTGCAAAACAAATAATTAGGGAACGTAATTTATATTAAAATTCCTCAGGAAACCTACACTATTTTAAGACCGCTAGCTTCTACAGTTCTGCACATTAACCTCTGTGCCAGCAATTTGAGAGCCTCTTCAAATCTAGCCAGAGGTCTTTGCTTTGCATGCAGTTCGACCACCTGCAGGGACTGCCTGCCTCAATCAACTTTGGTACACCTATGGGAAAGCTTTACAAAGGAATCAGCTTTGCATTCTTTTTTTTCCCTAAGTACAGGGGAATGTTTATCAGAATCTTTTTCAACTATTTCAATTACATCAACTATGCGACAAAATTTCAAATTAGCAAGTCATTATAAGCAATA